AAAAAAATCAGTACCGATTTTCAATTGGAATTAAGGCTCGGAGATTAATTGATTATTCAAAATTTTAATTAATCATAAAGTAAATAACTCAATTATTCGATTAATTGGAAATTATGATTACTCAAAAGTTCAGTTACTCGAGTAATCAAGATTTTGATTAACCAAAAACAAAAATATTTGAGTAATTTGCTTTATGATTAATCAGCCTTATGAGTAAAATAAGTAATCAATATTTCAAAGTACTCTTTACATATAAACCAGTTAAAGTTCCTTGATACTTTGAAAACAGCGTTTCGGTTTTAAAAAAATAAAATAAAATATTTCTTTCATATACAGACGAAACATTTCTTCATTCATTCTTAACGTTTGGAATAAACTTTTTTGTTTAATTATTCTTTAGAACGTTCCTGACGCTGTGTTAACTTATATTTCAAACGCATTCTGTATATTCTGGCTGTGAAATGGGATTATCTGGACTGTATCAAGAAACGCAGCCAGAATGTAAAAAAGAAAATAAGCATCTTCCAAAGCAAACTTTTTTAACGAGCAAAATTATTTTTTTTGTGTAATCATATTTCAAGCAACTCGATTAATAATCGTTGAGAGTAATCACAATCTTGATTACTCGAGTAATTGATTAATCGAATAATACAGCCCTGATCGGCATATCAAAATTTATTATATTTTAAGAAAAAAAATATTAATAAAAGATTTACGAGAGCTGGACCCATTTGAAAATACCTCCAAAAAATATAGTTTTTTTAGAAATAAATTTAGTTTTTTTTTTTAAATCATTCTTCTAAAAAAATTACCTCAGATATGATCTGAAGAGCTTAAGCTTAAAAGGAGGGCATACCAATTTTTTTTTTAATTTTATCAACGGAATAAAAATATAGACGTTTTGGGAGGTATTTTCCAAAGGGTCCAGCTCACGCCAATCTTAATATTTTTCCGAAATATTTTTCGGCGGAAGTCTTAAAATATAAATGTTTTTTTTTTTGTTATTTATGGCCTTATAATAATTATATTCAACAATTTTTTATTGAGCTTGAGGCTTGAAAAACTATTGTGGAAGTTTTTCATTAAAAACGGCCCCAAGCTCAATAAAAATTGTTGAATACACTTAGGTCTTTTTTATGCATTCCTCAGAAAGCCGCATAAAGAAGTTCTTTACTTTCATACAAAAAAGGGGATGCGTTCCAGTATTTTCAAAAACCGCATACATTCAGATACTCCATGTACAAAATTCTAAAAACCGCATAAAAAATCCAGAGGCAATATTAAATAAAAAAAAAAAATTATTTCTTCACTTTTTCTTCCATGTGAAACTGAACATTAATGAAATAAATAAAATTGTATCTGTATTTTAATCAAAAACAAAAAAAAGTATCACAAAAAATACATGAATTATGTGAGAATACAAAGACAAATTATTTATCAGATGCATTGTATTTTACACACCGAAAGAAAAGTAACAAAAACTCTCAAAAAAGCAAAATCACTACGGCGAAAAAAGGGTTTGAAAAACCGAATAAATTTAAATCCGCATAAAACGAGACCTAAGTGTATTTTTAAAAGGGTCCAGCTCACGCCAATTTTAATATTTTTCCGAAATATTTTTTTGGCAGAAGTCTTAAAATATAATAAATTTTATTATTCCAATGGAAACACCGCTGTTTTTTTTGTGATGCACCCTAATGTACATACATATGTATGTTGCAGCTATAAAAGTCGATAGCTCTATGCAAAATGATTTCTTGTTGTACTACATACAATGTGTAAAAATTCATAAATTGCCGGCTGTCTGTTGCACTATGTTGCGGTATATGGTACGCCTCGCAATGCTAGCCGACGCTAAAAACAAAACCGAAAATGCTTTAATTAAGATTTATGCGATTTGGCATAGTTTGGCGCTCCGAAACTCAGTCACTGGCCAATAACTATGCCATATGTAGTATTCCTTTATAACTGAAAGCTATCGAAATACATACATAGTCATATACATATTTCAATGGGATCGATGAAAAGCTTAAAAGCATAAGTATTTATACTTTGGCGTATGCCTGTGTGTGGCCTAATATCGGTCTATGTGTATTTGACAAAGATTTGGAAAATTGGCTTGCGGGCAACCAATGGCAGTGGCTGTACAGCAGTGCCAACCACTATTCCCATTGCCAACTGTTTGTTAGCTAGAGCAAGTAAATTCTTGTTTCTATGTATTTTTTGCAAATAAGTTAATTAATTTTCGATAAATTGGTTACTGTAATTAATTACTTAACATAGTATGCCGCTTTGGCATCTACTCAGTTAAGTAAATGATCGATTGTCATAGGCCAATGCTCGCATAGGCGAAAAACATAATTATTCCATTAAAGTCGATTTTGATAAGTCAATTGAACATTGGAGTCTTCTAAAAAATAAATACATTGAAGCCTGAAGCTGGTTGAATTCTAGTGTATTGTTTGGTGAGGATTTATGTAGATTTTTTTATCCTGATCAAAAAAAGTGCAAGTCTTGACTTTATTTCAGCTGCTTCTGATGTAAACATCTTCTAGATGGAGTTCAGAACGCTTTTAGTGTTAGATGGGTAGGGTATATGAGGCAAGTGAAGAGGTCTACGATCTTCGAAGTCTAGTTTAGCTCGAAAGAGTTGAGCCTGCTTCATGACCTGGGATCGGTGCTTGGTTCTTTTTTCATGTGAACCTCCAATTACAGCCGATAATGTACATATCGAGGGCTAATATTCAATACCCTCTATCTGCAATTTTGACCAAAATGAGTTTTTGATGGTAACGTGAGCTCCGATTAGTCTTTCATCCAGAACAATAATGTCAAACTTAAAATATAGCTTTAATGGTATTATATTCTCATTTTGAAAATTCCACTATCTGCAATAACATTTTGTTATAAGAACAAAATTCTCTATCTACACAATTTTGCTGGAAAATTGTTTTTATTAACATTTTTTGTGGCAGGTAAGTTACATGTTACCGGTAAAATCCGATCTTAGGTCAAATTAGTTTTGCCCAAGCTAAAATAGTTTTGACAAGGCTAAACTAGTTCTACCTAATTCGATATATCTGCCCAACCAAATTTGATACTACAAAAAAAAGATCTTCCATATCGCGTCAAACATAGAGTCATTAAAGTCCATTACTCCATTCATATTAAGCTACAGCAATGATTTGAACTCCTATCTACTGCGATGCCTACTAAAGTAAAAACTCTACCGCAAGGGCATTTTCTTATTTTCACAGTCGGTTCCAGATATGATACCGGCTGTTCTTTTGCGGTAACAAAAGGGCTGGGTGTTACAATTGTCGTCGGTGCTTTTCCCGCGTACTGCTCGGCATTTACAATTGCTAGAAGCTGTACGTTTCGCCTCTAAAAACGAAGAAAATTTCCTCATATGCACGGACAGTAAATCAGCCATCGAAGCCCTCTTTAACAGTGCTAATGATTGTCATATAATTTCAAAATCACGTGAAATACTCTTTCGACACAAAAACACGGAATATAAGGGAACGGGTTTGCAGACCAATGATGTATGTGTTAAAAACTTAGTTTAACATAACATTTGCATCGAAAAACCTGGCATTTTCATTATTCTGCAAAACCAGCTATCAGCACATTTTTTTATATAAATAGTTACAATTCGATCGAATTGCAATAACCTCTATCTGATCTTAAAACTAAAATAAAATAAATTTAAAGTAAAATCCTAGTTTTAATATATAGCGTGGATTTTTAAGACATGAGTGGGTACTTAAAGTTATTAACACTTTTAAAAAAAGCTGTCAAAACAGTTTTTTTGCTCTCTTGGAAAATTGAGTTTTTGTAGATAGTGGGAGGGCATTGAATATAAGCCCTCGATATGTATGTACTTAGACAGTCTCATAGCAGGATTTTTCTGCGAGAGTTGAAGGTTGCGGATATGACTGCTTCGCGGTGGCTCAGACCTGGTAGTTAGGTTTCTCGACTCAGTGGTTTGCTCGTGTGATGGGCGAGTTTGGTTCCAGTAGGACTCAATGTATCTTCACTTGCTGCGGTGGTTAGTTCTGCTGATTTAGTTCTACATAGTTGGGGTGGTTTGCCATATGACTGCTTGACAAGAATTAGTAGATTATACTTCTTTAATGTGAGCAATTATACAACGGCGTGAGGCTGTTGTTTTGATGACTCAATAACTTTAAAATATGGGGAGGTTTAAAATACTGCAGCTATTTTTGACATCGGGGGACAAAACTCCATCAAGTGCCATTAAACCACCATTGCATTTTTTTCAGATCTCAAAAGTTTGCCTATAACTCGAAAACTGTTTTACTTTCTTATACTTTTGACTTTATATTCGGATTTAGCGAAAAATTTTACAATAGGAATGTTGGCCAAGCGCCACAGATCAGATTTCTTGTAAACTAGTGTTATTGGGTTTGTGGGTCTTTTAGACTAATGGCTCGTGTTCTGGTTCAAAATATCAACCTTGAAAAACACTCCTAGCATAAAATATGTTGTATATGAGCTTATAAAGTGATTAGCCGAACTTTAGTGGTTACACCACCTAAATTGCCGCGTGGCTCGAATTGTTACCATTTTTGCCCACTGTTCGCCGGGTACTCAATGTTCGGATTCGCACGTACTTGGACTTCTTTACTTGATGTTATAATAATTAGTGGCCTCTATGTATTTGCATTGTTTTGTAGTATTAGCAAGGATTTTACAGATTTATTTAAGAGGTTATAAAAAAATATTTTTTTTTGATGAAAAGAGAAAAGAATAACACGAGATAAAAAAAGTCTTAAATTTTTAAATATTAAATGTTCGTAATATGATAATTTAAGCCAACGCAAAATGTGGAAATTTTGGACTATTTTCATAATCACCAATTTGGTAAGTCAAAATAAGTGTTGGTATCAAATATTTTTGTTTGTTTTAATAAAAATATAATTTGTAATATTTCTTCGTCTTACCATGACTTCTAATTTGGTTTTCCTTTTTTTCAGGCTGTTCATGAAAGTGGCGCCATACGCCCAGCCACCACCAATGATGCGCAAACAAAATGCGGTTCAGTATTATGTGAAATGGTCTCCGAGGTGTTTAGTAAAGCCAAGTTGAGTTATGGTTATAATTACGTGCATACAATACCAGCGGGAGCGATGAATTTGACAATCAAACAGTTATCGCGAAGTGACAATCTATTGGGTGAGAGAAAGAAAAAAAAAACAAATTATAACTTAAAGCATTCAAAGTTTTTCTAATCAAGAGCCACTAGGGCTGTTATAAAAAAATCAGATAAACGTTCTAATATTAATAGGTATTTTTTCTTCACATATCACCACAGCACTCAAAACCACCGACGACATTTTTCTCATCAACGGCAATAGTCGCGCTTCTGAGGGCGGTATATTTGAGTATAACGACGACACCTACGATTACAATCGCGAATTAAGCACAATCACCTCCAAAGGACCAATTACGAAGCCTGTCGTCCTACTGGTAAGCCTGCCTTTTGTTCACCTCACCTTGGCTTAGACCAAAAAAACTTTCCACTTTTATCTTCCAGCTCTTTGTGCGCGGTCACAACACTGGCGTCAAATACGACTATACAATTCCGGTGCCTTCGGCCTCCATAACGGAGGAGGAAGAGCTGCAGTCGCAGTGGAACGAGGTTGGTCAACCACTCGACGAGGTGGACGATAACAACATCGATGGCACCGTGTCGGCACAAATCGCGCGCGCTCGTGATCGTAAACGCCGCAAGTTCTCTTGGAAGTTGCTCGGCTTTGGCGAGTGCAATCGCTCGTGCGGACCCGGTATACAACCACCCATCTTCCGCTGCATACGCGACTCACCGACTCGCTTCTATTCGCCCAAACGCTGCGCCTTTGTCGAGAAGCCGATCTTTAGTGAGGACATTTATCACTGCAATCGCGGACTGTGCCCAGCCTACTGGCGTGCTGGCGACTATGGTGAATGCAAGTGTGCTGATGGTGAGGCGGAGGGTGTGCGCACGCGTTATGTGCAATGTGTGCAGGAACAGAATAATGGCAAGATTGGCGAAGTCTCTGAGGAATTGTGTGAGCAACAGAAGTTGCCGGAGTTGAATGAGACTTGCAATTGTCCGAAGTTTAATCGGCGCAAGATTTACGCACGTGGACCAGATAAGACGTCACGTATCTTCTCGCGTTTAATAGGCGCGCCTACACTGGTGCGTAGCGTTTACAACTCAACCACACCGTTGCGTCGACATCTGCGTGACGACCGTGTCGATAAGGCGGGTGTGTGGCTGATGTCCGAATGGAATCAGGAGTGTTCAACTGATTGTGGCGCAGGTTTTGAACACCGTTCGATTTATTGCGATCGCACGCCACCCTACACAGATCTGTGCGATTTGCGCTACACGCCGGAACAGAAGCGTATTTGTAGCGGCCGCCAGCAGACAGCAGCTTGTCAGCATGGCACATGGTTTGCCTCGGAATGGAGTAATTGTACGGGAGAATGTTTCAATTTGCAGCGTAGGCGTGTGGTGCTATGTCTGCGGGATGGTGTGGCGGTGGATGAATCGGAATGCGATTTGTTGTTGCGACCGCGCGCCGTGACGAATTGCACGCACAAGGAGGTGACATTCTGTGGACCAAAGTGGCACTACTCGGAGTGGTCGGAGGTGAGTGTCGTTAGAGGGATGCAAAGGGCGCAAGGGATTGAGAGAGTAAAAGAGGGAAGTCTCCTTTGCGCGAATCGCAATTTTGAAAGTGGTTTTATAGAATAAACTTTTCGCTTTTTCGATATTATTACAAATTTTTGGACTTATTTAATTTTTCAATGCTTTATGCTTGCATGTAAATATATATGTAGTGCTCCCGTTCTTGCGGTGAAGGCGTTCAACGTCGGTATGCCAAGTGCCTGGAGTTTGATTGGAAGCAAAAGGCGATGGTCGAATCGAGCAATTGCAAATATTTGGAACGTGAACCGGTCTATGGAACGTGCAATGTGCAGAAATGTGAAGGTAAGCACTTACATGTCTTAAGTTAATGTTAAGTTATTAAAAAAAAAAAATTTTAAGACAAGCTTTTATTAAAGAAACCTGCGCCGACTAGCGGGTTAAGCTAAGTTTTAAGTTTCACTAGCTTATCGGGAAGTTGGTAATAATCTATTTCCAAGATTTGATTGTAATGTAATGTAAATGTTTTGGGTGTAACAGAAATTGACACCGCGACCTTTTGTATCCCTATGATGGTTCTTAACCCTGACGGCAGGTGATTATCGCCCGTCAGATAGCCAACAAGAAACTTGATATCGGCTCTATTCAGAAGATGCATACATATCTTTCTTAGCGAAAGTACTTGCTGCCTTCTGAGTTTACCCACGATTCTATTTAAAACCTTGAGGAGGACCAACTGAGTTCGCAAAACGGTTCCGGCCCTACAAAAACGGGCGATGAGCCTTCTCCTGCCAATTCGTCGGCGGCCTCGTTACCCACGATCCCGCAGTGTCCTGGTACCCAGAACAGTAGTACGGTGTCCCATGCTGACAAGAGTTGAATAGTGTCAAAGCACTCCTTGATGAGCTTGGAGGTGATCGTCCTATTGGAAAGTGCCCTTTTGGCCACCTGGCTATCTGAAAATATAACTAGAAACTCTGGCACAAATCGAGATTGCTAGTACCTCGGCCTGAAAGAGCGTGGACCAAGTACCCATTCCAATAGAAAGTTTGGCGACAGGTCCAAAGATGCCCGCTCCTACTCTGCCATCCATCTTTCATCCGTCTGTGTACCAGTGTATATATCAAGGATCTAGTTCAGGTAAACCATTTGACCAGATATCTCGGTCTGGAATTCGGAACTGAAATTTCCTTCCAAAGCATATTTCCTTTGGTCTTATTTTAAGACTGTCAGAATTTTGCATTTGCAAATTTCTCGAAGCTGCTGCTGCAGGGACAAGAATGTGGAGTAAGGTCCAGCCTAGCAGCGACTCAAGACTATTCAAGCACTGTTTCTCGAAGGCTAATCGAAGCAATGTTCAGCTTGTACCTTCTTGTAAACGGTACCACAACGGCCAATTGCGGGTTTATGCGAGGCCCTAATTGGCACACCAGTTTGATGCCACGCGTAGAGCTGCACTCCTGACGTGTGATTCGGTGCTGCCGAATTTTCCGGTCACAATAATTTGATTACACTTCGGTAGGTGAAATTTAATAAAAGATAAAAGATAATTAGGGGTGTTTTTTCTAACTGGGAAAACATTGGAAAATTCCGAAAATTTTACTCTACTGTCGAAATTTGGGGTTTCTAGTTAAAATATTTATATAATAAAAAGTGAAATAAAACTTAACCCTTGAGGATTTCATATATTTACAAGAACGTACGTAATTTTATTACTTTTAGTTCAAAAAACCTATCGAAATGGTTATCGATATATCTATTAATATCGATATAATATTGATATCGTTTAAATACATTTATCGGCACATGCATACACAAATTTATCCATACATTTACAGATATAAATTTTGTTCAATATGAGTAGATTATCAATACAATTAAATGCATTTAATAGGCATTTTTCGATACACTCATGGATATTTTCATCAGAGTTTTTATCGTATACAACGCGGGACAAAAACAACAAAAATTCCAAACACACGAAGCATTCAATATACTCTCGAAACTGCGGGCCAAATATGGTAAAACTGCGTTTTTAATTTTTCGCTCTGGCGTCAGAATTTTTTTTAAAGGACTTCGTAGTTTCAAGGATATGATTTCTTACAAAAATTATTGAAAAAATTCCGCGTAATGTAGAGTAAAAATATGGGTACCAAATGAAAGAGAAAATCCCGTAGAATTAAAAAAAATTAAATTAAAATTTTATGGATTACAAGGACCAAAAGCTATTGCAAATTAATTTAATTTTTTCAGTCATTAACATAAAATTTTTCCAAAAATATTTATTGAAAAATTTCAAGGATATTCAAGGATAAAACTTTAAAAGGACATTTTATACCTAATCGTCCATATTCACCAAAAAATTTTATCGACTTTAGTTCTACTGAATTTTTTCGCTTAATTGCTACCCATATTGGTTTTCTAAATTGCACTGAATTTTTTTAAAATAATTTTTTAACTAATCATATTTTTAAAATTTCGAAGTTCTTTAAAAAATCCTGACGTCCGAGAGAAAAAATAAAAACGCAGTTTTATTATATTTGGTTCATGTTTTCGGATGGTTCGGGTGGGTTTTTTGTGTGTAAAATTTACTATCGATTTTTTAACCGATGTATGCATTAATATTCCTCGATATCAACATTAATATCACTCGATATATGCATTGAAATTGATAACGATTTATACACAGGTCCGAGAAATGCATCTACTTGTTGTCGATACTTAATGATATAATCTCATTCGATATCGTCCTACATATAGTTCCTTAATAACACACCTATTGCTGTTGTTATTCGTATTCGTGTTTCTATTTGCGAGCAAGACAACGGGAAGTCGAATTTTTCTGTAGGTTTCGAAGTCTAAAAAAGCGTTTTTATTTATACGCATTTACGGTTGTTAGATATACATAAGTTATACATTTTAGAAACGCTCTTATTTAATTCTTCTGCTTTCCTTTCGCAGAACTCAACACACTATTCGATGTGGAACGCGATACTTTGAAGCCTGTTGAACCACCAGCCAATTGCAAAGATGATGTGAGTAATTGCCAGCGAATAAATCGACAACGATTGTGTAAGTTGCACTACTACAAAACTTATTGCTGTGCAACATGTAGTGGCTATGCTTAGAGGCCTTGCGAGAGTTGTGCCGTGGAAAATAATAAATTGAAATGTGTATGCAGAGGCGGGAGGAGACAGAGCCACACGGTAGCAGCAAACGCATTCTAAATACGGTAGCATTACGCATTTAATTAATTGTATTCATTAATTAATTACTTCTACAGCAATAACAATATGCTAACATTAGCATTGAAATAAATGTTTGTAGCCAGTTTAGTTGGTAAGATGCATGCAGGCATAATGGAAATAGAAGTATGAATGAATTTGGTTTTTTGAGTTTATTTCATTTTATTTAGAACATAAAAAGTTTTGATCGTATGATAAATAAACGGAAAAGAAAACGTTCGTAATTTTAATGCCTTCGGCGACTAATAATACTAATAGATAATTTTTAATAAGTAGAACATTCTTTTTCCTTTAATATTTTCCTCAGCAATGTCTAATGCCTTTATGATTTTTTTTTATCACATTCGATCGATATTTTATGACTGTTTTCGATTAATATTGGATTTTAATATTTTTTGATTTGCTTTAAATTTTTCGATCGAATCGCTCTTGAACTTTTTAAGTTCAATTTAATCGAAAAAGTTAATATGATTTTTTATCGATTGTAAAAACATAAATTTCAAAATATAGTTTAAATATGACTGAAAACCAGAGTGAAAATCAAGGAATAACGATTATGTATAATCGAAATAAAACCATAAAAATCGATACAAAAATATCGAAAAATTATCGAAAGAACAGAAACCCAACTACAACGATAAAATAAATGTTCTTTGACCACGTGTTGATATTTTTTAATATTCACAATGTTTTTCAACGGTTTTTTTTTTGTTTTCTTTTTTAATATTGTCTAAGCTTTAACATAAACCCTATACCAAAAATAAAAGTTTCAAAATTTAGGAAAATTTAATAAGTTTGCATCAAAATTTTAAGGCTTTTAATCTGAATTTTTAGAAGATTTTTGGGTATACAATTTTTCCCCATAAAATTTTAGTGCAATGAAGTGCAAGGTAGATTTTTAATATTTTTTTTTTTTATTTTGCCTTAATTTTAAAACTTTTATTTATATTATGGCTTTTGTTAAAGCTTGGACAGTATTTCTGTAGAAATATAAGATAAAACAAGTAAGAAAGTCTAAGTTCGGGCGGAGCCGAACATTAAATACCCGGCGCAAATATTAGATATATGTTTTTCACCTTTCCGAAAGCTACCGCTACATGGTAAGCAGGGGTGTATCAATTTTGAGTAAATTAGCGTCCTTAAATTTCGAAATATTGAAGTTTCAAGCATTTCTAAAATTTACCGTTATATGAAAAGCCGTCCGATTTCAATAATTTTGATCGTTTTGCTTTTATGTGGCAAGCACAATAACCACACCGAGTTTGGTACAAATTGGTAGAACAGTTACCGAGATACATATATGTGATCATAAGTGGGCGGTGTCACGCCTATTTTCCGAAATTTTATCATTAACGTATTTCTTGGTAAAAAATTGTTGCAAGGATCAATTTTGAATAAATTAGCTTTAATATTTATTGATTTATCGAAGATTTCGTATTTCTCTAAATTACCGTTATATGGTATGTGGGCGTGGTTATTGTCCGACTTTTATGGACTTGGGCGAGCCTAAGATATTGACCAAAAATTGTCATATTTCACACAGATTGTTTTAGAGCATAGTGAACCATATTTTTGCTATTACCAATCAAAGTTCTAAAAAAGCGGATTTTCGGCCCACGCTAATATACATGCACAGTTTTTTTTACAACAAATAACTTTTATTGTTCGTCTTTATTGAACACGAGCAAGTTTCAAATGACCAAAGCTTCATCCAAAAATGGATATGGAGAGTTTCATATACAGATGTATGTACATACAGTCAACGTCAAAAATATGCATACCCTGACGTTTTGACGATTTTATTTATTTATATTTTCCATTTCTAATGAAATTCAAAATTCGGACATTGTACCCATTTTCTTTTTACTACAAAAAATCGGAACCAAACTTTCATTTAAATGATTAAATTATGCTTGTTTCTACATTTAAGAACTTAATAGCTTATACTTTTCATCAGCTAACAGAAAAAAAAGGAATTGATATAAAAAATAATAATATTTTCTACTAAGGAGCTTAAGAGGAAAATTCAAAAATATTCGTGAGCGAAAAAATTAAAATTGAATTTAAAAAATAACTCTTCATCAAGAAAAATTATTTATGATTATAAGTCACAAGTACTATTAATTACAAAACATATAAAACAATTTAGTGTTAAAATGATTTAGGTTTTTTTTTAAATATTTACAACGAACATTGCGACTAAAAAAAACATTTAATGCCATGTAAACTATGTATGCACTAAATATTAATAAATAATTGAGGGAATCACAACGATGTCGTAAGTGTCGTATTGTTGTATGTCGTAAACTTTAAAAGCTTAAATGAATATTTAGAGAACCTGAAACCACGACCAACTATTTTTTTAACACTCCGAAAATACCTAATATGACATTGATGGCACTTTGCGAATCCCCGTAATATATATGTTTTTGGCGTTTGAAGTTTACGACATACAACAAATCCACACTTACGACACTGTTGTGAATACCCCAAGTATATCACTTACGATTACAGTATCTTAGCGGTTACTAACCACATACATATAGAGCCATGCCAAACATATTTATTGCATTTCTACGCGTTTATTTGTAATAAATCAAATTATAAAAAAATATAATATTTTAAATAAAAAAAAAAAAAACGTTTAACTCAAATATGCGTTTCACTTTCTATCCATCGCTAGTCACAAGCCTGTCCATCTTGCCCCACTCAATAATTTGCAATTGCTACAAGGTGGTCTCAAAGTGTACCGTTACTTTGCCAAATTGGCGCGCCATCAAAATTGCAACAACAAAAACGTGGGTTTATTTTAGTTAAGTGATGGCGGGTGGCATTAATAGTTCGATATTGTTAGTCCAACGAACTGTCTACAACGCTTTGTAGGTCTGTCTTTCATTTTATTGTAGCATTTTAATATGCAATTGCTTGCTGCAATTATTGATCACTTATTATTGCTGGTGTCATGGCAATAAAAATACAGCGACACTTGTATGAGCTTTGTACGTTAAACAATTATTTAATTGTTCACGCGTGTCTGCAATTGTTTGTGCGGGCGTTCCGAGTTAGTAAGTAGAGTAAGCGGTAAGAATAAAAAAGAACGATTAAAAATGAACTGGTGCTTAGAAAGCCAAAGTGCCTTACACAATTTTCAATATTTTCATACTTTTACACTGATCACATTTTGAAGTCATCTTAGGCTGATAAACGCTGGTTTTTGTCTCTTGACCTCTTGCATTGACTTTAGTTACTATTAAACGCTCATCACGGAGCTTAACTTGATTGGATTAAGTGTATAATTATTTGATTAGCAATGAAGAAAAAAGAGGAAATCAAATACATAACACCAAGGCATCGAAGTTAGTTATATGGAAGTTTTTAATGCAAGCAAAAGAAAATTCAGAAAAAAAATCTAAAAATCTATACATAATATCGGTAAGACTTTTTTATAAAGCAGACTACGTATGGCTCTAAACTCGAAACGAGGGTTGGAGGAAAAATTTTCTGCACAGGACTGAAGCTATACAATTAGTATCTATTTTGATTGTCAAAAAAAACCTTGAAAGTTTTAGGTTCATGAAAAGACATTAGCAGCTCTTTAACATCGAGATACTGAGCCTAATTTCAACGCTGACAAATTGGCAAAGAAAGCGGGAACTACCCTAACCGTAAAAAAAGTACACGGTAAGTATACAGGGTGTCCCAGAAGGCGAGGTGAGTAATGCTTCTGTAAATTGACGTAGAAAATTTATGGCCAATTGCTCTAGCTTGGAAAGAATGGCACTTTTTGCCGACTGTACTGAAAAAAAATGTACTACACTAGTTTGGCAAATAACTTTGAGAGTTGGAGCATTTAATAAGGATTCCAAAATGGTATGCCACTTGCTAGATTGTTCCTTCAATTATTTTATTATTTCAATTTAATGATTTTTGTAAAGAAACTCTGTTTTAAAATTTTTTTCTTAATTACTTAAAACGATTTTAGTGTACCCAAGACTTTCCTTGAAGCCGTAACTGTACTTAATTCTAGTTTGAGTGAGACGGAGAGACTCATTTTACACAGTGTCAGCGAGACAGAGAGTGACGCCTCTTTTACTAATGTGATGGATACAGAAACTCATTCATTTTAGCTTTGAGTTTAGGATTGTGTTTTTTCTATGAAAGTTTGAAATTAAACATCAAATTATTTACAAATCAAATCAAATTTATTACATTTACAACAAATGATCAAACTGCCTTCCTTCAGCAGCAATGCAAGCTCGACATCTACTTAAAAAAGATCGGGTTATCAGACGGGCGAGTCTTCCACTATTTACAAATTCAACTGCTTCCATTATTCTTTATCGTAGCTCCGCTAAATTTTCCATTGTTTTTGAACAAATTTTTCTTTTACTGCTCCCCGGTAAAACAAAATATCGAGTGGATTTAAGTCAGGGAACAGGCTGGCCACGAGATTTTTCCAGTTCGCCCTATCCATCTGCTCGAGTATTCCTCATGGCACCTTGTGGCCGTAAGCAATCCGGTAACAACTTTGCAATCCCGCCTTGATGGCCGTAACAAGAAGCGAGTATAATTGAATAAGCAGTTTCGAAAAGGGCACATCTCGCATAGTTTGAGAAATAAATCTTTTTATATCAATGTTATCTAAATGCTGAAATTAACTTATTTAGCTTGAGAAGTTTTCTGTTCGACAGTCAGACTGGCAGTCAGCCTCATCTGCTATTTCATTACCCTCTATTCTTTTGCGGCCAGCCTGTTAATAGCTTTCCGGCTGCGTAGGACATTTCTAGATGAAATACTATATGAGGTAACTGCCTTAATTGCCACCTGACTGTGTATACGTATTAAGTTTACTCTGAGTTGATGGTCGTTTCCATGGAGGCTAGCTCTGTTGCCATCCTCATTGGGAAAACCTTTGCCATAAATATGCTGCCCCGGTCAGGTAGCCCGCCTAACGTACAGTCCCCGGCTTTATACTACGCCACCCACTCTCGTTATCATTTTAGAGCCATCCGTGAGCAGGTTTCGGGATCTAAGCCATTACTCAATTAAAGCAAGGTGCCATATAATCTGTGCTGCCCGTGCTTTTCGCCCCAATTGTGCTGTACCCAAAGGATCTGTTATGGAATTCCTCTATGGCCGTCAATCTACCTGAGGACTTAGCAGCATATATTGCCGCGAATAGGTCAATGGGCGGTAAACGGAGGATTATTTCTAGAGCAGTCGGTGGAGTAGACCTCTACGCCGCCGAAATGTACACTGCCACGAGGCGCTGAACCTTCTCGCTAGGTCTGGGGTATGAGGACTTTTTTGTGGCATTCCACCACACCAAGGCGCCTTAGAGTAGTATTGGTCTTACTATTGCTGGCAGCCGGCAGCTGACACACCTCAAGTAAATCTCAGAATTTTTTTGCATACATATATGGCTTAACTGATCCTCCTTACTCATTTCTCAACATTGCACCTCCATAGCAGCTTACTAACTAAGACTACTCCCAGATACTTTGTGTGGTATTTAATTGTCATCTCGATGCTATCTAGCCTCGAGAGTCTCCACACTAAGACCTTATATCTTCTTGTGAAGAGCATGAGGTCAATGACTTTCAGTGCGCTGTTCATAACGAAGAAGAAATTTGGCAAAACCTTTTAAGCCACTCCCAGAAATAGAAATAGATAAAATTGAAATCGTTGGCCTCAAAACTCGGGATATCAGCGCAGCATTTTTTAGCTTAGAAAAAGAAGTTAA